TATAAGCAACATCTTTTTAATCAATAAATTATATACATAAATTTTCTAAAATTATAAAATAATCGTACAAATTTTTAAGATACGTCAAAACAATAAATTGGTTTTAACATAGTCATAAAGTGAACAGTTTATAAAAAGTTAATAAAAATAATAGTTTTTTATTGTTGGAAAGTGAAGAGTTTATAAAAAATAAAAATGCGGATTATTTAATACAAAATTAACTCACATGCATGGATGGACGTACATGTGTCATGTGATATACGCGTGGCGTGACATGTGTCATTAGTATGCACGTGTGGCATGACACGTGTCGTCACCACAACTTTGAAACCCTCTTTTACATATATATATATATATATATATATATATATATATATATATATATATATATATATATATATATATAGGATAGGATATAGGATATATAGGATAGGATAAGATAGGATAGGATAGGATAGGATAGGATTGGCATGATTTAATTTTAAAATTTAACCTTCTAATGAAATCATTAACGTAAAAAAAGAGTCATATCACTTAAATCACTTATTATATCACTACAAAATGGAAGAAGAATCTTGGAACAATTTCATTGGTATATATTAGCCATTTTAATATAAAAAAAAAGTTTTTGGTGAAAGTGAAAAATGAAATATTTTTTCAATTGGAGGGAACAAATTACATCAATTAAAAAACCAATTTTTTAAAGAGGATTTTATGTTACGTACGTTAATTTTGTACGGAGTATATGACAAGTAAAGTTGATAAGTGTTTTTGGAAAAAATTCACACCAATACTCCCCAAATTTAGATAGTTTAGGTAAATACTCCAAAATTCAATAAATATCATCAATGCTTCCAAGTTTTTTCTACTCCGTATATTAACATGGGTACTCCAAGATTAGAAATAGGTTTACATCAATGCCCCAATATTTGAAGCATCGAAGTAAACAGAATTAATTTTTGGAGCAATGATGTAAATATAAGAAAATTTTGTGAGTATTGATGTCATTTAATGAATCTCAAAGTACGGAGTACTTATGTAAATTTATGCATTTTGAAAGTATTGATGTGAATTTTACAAATGTTATTTATAAAATACATACCCAGACTATATATAAATTAATATTTTAAATTGTGCTATGTACGGATTGAAACAAAAATTATAAAAATAATTGAATAAAATACAAATATCAAATAAAAATCATAATATATAACAAATCTTGTATTTTTGGATAGGTTTTTTGAAAAGATGACAAATGACATATTATTTGTCAAGTTTGAAATTATGCGTAAAAAATTATAAACAAAATAAACAATACAGACTTACTAAGGAGTAAGGAATAATAAAATAAAAAGTTTTCATAATAAAATGATAAATTATTAAGCATATCCTATCCTATATATCAGTATATCTACCGGTGCCAAACCCCAAAACCCATTCCTACCACAAATAGTAGAACAATGCTAGTGATATACCAATCAATGGAGGAGGAAGAAAATTAAATTTTAATTTTTGTTTAAAAAAATAGGGTACGACATTTGTACACATTCCTACACAATGCATCTTCACCCTCTATTTCTTTTTAATAAATTCATGCGTTAGTAAAAAAAGTTATGGAACTAATATATATATTGCAGGCCTCCCATTATTTTTAGAATCGGGATACAATTGTAATGCTCCGAAATGTATCGTGAAAGTTGTAATGAATTGAATTTCTAAAGAAATATGAATATAAGTTTTGTTTGCATAAAATAAAATTTATAGCGACGACACTAAAATAAGTGATTATAGAAGCAATCTTTTTATAGTCAAATTAGTACTCAAATTGAAGGTCTCATGAGAGGAGTCCGACGGCGTATCCCGTCCGCGAACGTGAGGTACGAATCTTAGTGGCTCGACCAGTGCGGTTGAAAAAAGATTAAAAAAATAAATGAATAAAATACAAAAATGAAATTATATAACTAACGAATTTGGTGTGTCCTAGTGACAAGCGACATATTGTTTGTTAAGTTCGAAACTATGTATAAGCAATAATAAACAAAAATAAACGTAAGATTAAAATAATTTTAAAAAACAAAAAGAAAAAGTATTTCCCCTCCAGACCAGAACTCCGTATAAGCCGTAGGGCTGGAAAAATTCACTTTGTCCGTCGTCCCACACCGGATTTAGAGCTGAGCGGGAGTGAGTAATAAACTCTCAATTGCATCACTGCTTTTAAAATAAAATAGAAATTAAAAAAAATATATCCGCTACTTGTTTTTCTAAAGAACTTTTCGAATTGGACCTGTTCCAAATCGATTTTAGCGGTTCACTCGTCCCATCCTCTCTCATGACGCCATACACCATGAACTTCTAAAAATATGTTTATGCATGCATGCAAAGTCGTAAAATAACTGCACATCTAAAGCAATCCTACGTGCAAAATCACTTTAGATGAATTAAGATAAAGTCCAACAAGCTGAATGTTGAAACAAATGGATTCTAGCTAATCCCTCCCTCCACAAAAAAGTTTCCATTTTGACTGTAAATTATTTCAAACGTTTACACGCTTTGACCATAAATTAAATATAATAGAAATAAAGAAATGCTAAAAAAATTTGAGATATCAAAACTAGATTCTAAGATGAATCCAAACATATTAAATTTATTTTATACGGAGTAATTCACTATACCTTTTTTCACAATTTGTAGTCAAAACGTGTATCCTGGATTTAATGCGCCTCATTAGAATCTCTCGAGACGAGTAAATTTTCATATCGAGAAGCTATTATCAGAAGTTTGAGCTAGAGCACGTCATGACCGTTGAGGATTGAATCATGCCATGATCACTTGCATGTGCAAAACTAAGCTTGAAAATATTTTAAGTGTGGGAGAGCATTTTATTTAGAACCATGCTACAATTACACCAAAAAATGTACCCCACAGCTTTGCACAGACATTTTGATGATTTACACCGATATAAGTGTTGGTGTGTAACAAAAATGTACACGGACACAAATGTTGGTGCGTTAACAAAAAATTAGTTTTACACCAACACAAAATGTTGGTGCAAACCTGCGAGGTACAAATTGGGGTATAAATGTTGAGGTACACATAGCTTAATCCTTTTATTAATAATAGTCAGATTTACCCTTAGTCCTAATCACATCCAACCGGCCAAATACCCCCGTGTTTGAAGCTTCAATTTTACTAAATTTCCTTTGTCAAAAGAAAAATAAACATTAAGTCTTCCACTTTGTAACTTGCTAGTACCACTCTCCAATTTTATATGTTAAGAATTATTTTGCTAGCTTTGTGATGGTTTTCGGTGCAAAAAACCTCAACCTTCACGTACAGAAATAGAGACATACAGTATGCCTATTGATGGCTTCAATTTTATATTTGCTTCTATGTTTTTTGTTGTAATAAGGTGGTACCTTCTAAGTTGTTTTTTTTTTTTGCCTCTAGGATGTTGCTTGGAGTGTAGAACTGGGCACTACTATTTATCACTTTCAACTTTCTAATTAATTAAAGTTTTTTCTGTGCACTCTTTTTTTGGTTTAAATTGTACCAGTTTTGACCATAATTTGCAAAAAGGCTATAACTTTATTTAATTAGCTTAATTTTAAGATATAGTTTTGACATTACTCTTTATCAAATTTATTATATAATTAAAATTTGGTTTTTTGAACAAAATGCACTTGATTCATTCATTCACCTCCAATCAGTTTACACAAGGAAAAACAAACATTTGAAGCTATTACATCACACTCTATGCCAAACTAACTACTCATCGTTTTATCTTCTTTCTCTTCCCTTTCTCCCAGTATATAGCCATGGTAGTTTGTAACCATTGCATCATACTCTCCAGCTGTGGCGGGCTTCTTGAATGTAGCTTTTTATTCCTTGCTCTCCAAATGGTATAGCAAGCTGCCGAGTAAGCGCTTACGACCTGTTTCCTCCTCTTCCCCTGTAGTTTCATCAGTTTCTGCCTTAGGTCTTGGACCGTTCCTCCCTCTATTTTGTAATTTAACCAGGTAGATACTCTATCAAGTAGTTCCTTGGTAAAACTACAATTACAGAATAGGTGGTCCTGGTCTTCATCCGCTGCATCACATAGTTCACAAGTCCTGCTTATGTCCATGAACTTTGCCAGCCTAGACTTAGTACTGACTCTCCCTTTGCTAATCAGCCATTGAAGAAACTGATGTTTAGGGACAG